GGCGTCTCAGCGCTGCCTGCGGGTCAGAGCCTGAGCCCGGGGTGCGGGGACTTGCAGCCAGGGCAGCGCCCGCCGGTCAAACCAGCCTCGCAGCCAAGATGCTGCAGCTGTTATTTCTAATCTGTTGTTATTGGCTTGAAAAGCACAGAGAGAGAGAGATTTTCCATCCACTGGTTTACTCCCCAGATGCCCACGACAGCCTCAAGGCTGGGCCAGGCCAAAGCCAGGAGTTCAGAACCCAACCCGGGTCTCCCACGTGGGTGGCAGGGCCCCAAGCACTGGGCCATCACCGGCTGCCTGCCAGTGCACAGCAGCTGGGAGCGGGAGCTGGCACGGCAGCGGCACTGAGAGGTGGGCGTGTCTCCGGCAGCGTCTCCACCACAGCGCTGCCCAGGTGCTGCCCAGGCCGTTTTCACGGGAGGCCGGGGTGGGGGCGCCGTGTGGTTCTCCACACAGCCCTCCCCTGCCCCCACCCGCCACTCACGGCTGCCCCTCCGCTCCCCACCACCGGGGCCAGCAGGCATCCCTGAGTGCCCTGGGCAGCGGGGGTGCCAGGAAGCAGAGCCGTTTCCCTCCCAGGCACCACCAGGCCGCGCCACGGGGCAAGGGGACAGCCCCCAGCCTCACCGAGCGCCCGGAGACCAGGTTTCCGGTCACAGACTCCTGCCCGCTGGGCCACTCCACGCCTCTTCAGCCTCTGCCACTGGCTGCCCTGCCTCCTGACCGACCCCACTCCTGTGTGTGCCCTGCACACGCGTGTGCACGGCTTCTGGTGACATCATGGCAGCAACATGCAGGTGGCAGCAGCACGCCCCCCCACCCCGTGCCTGTGTCTTTCTCCCCTGACACGGGCTGTGTCTCACTCCGTGGGTGACGTGAATCGTGGTGCCCAGGGCCATCGGGTGGGGGAGGGGCCCGGGGATCTGCAGAGACTTTGGGGGTCCCCGGAGCAGGGGCGGACCCTGTTGCTGGTCCCAGGAGCATGGGAGGGACCCGGGGATCTGCAGAGACTTTGGGGGGCCCCGGAGCAGAGGGTGAGCCCTGTTGCTGGTCCCAGGAGCATGGGAGGGGCCCGGGGATCTGCAGAGACTTTGGGGGGCCCCGGAGCAGGGGTGAGCCCTGTTGCTGGTCCCAGGAGCATGGGAGGGACCTGGGGATCTGCAGAGACTTTGGGGGGCCCCGGAGCAGGGGTGAGCCCTGTTGCTGGTCCCAGGAGCATGGGAGGGACCCGGGGATCTGCAAAGACTTTGGGGGGCCCCGGAGCAGGGGTGAGTCCTGATGCTGGTCCCAGGAGCACTTCCTGGAGTTGGCATCTGAACAATGCACTTGCCCCCCGCTTCCCCCAGGGCTTCTGGTCCCACTCTGGGGGAAAACGTGTCCCCATGTGTCGTCCACCCTCACCACCTCCACCCCCACCTGGCTCTTCCTCATTCTTCGTATCCCCACGTCTTGGTATGCCCCCCTCCAGCGATGTCCCATCTGTGGTCAAAGCCGGGAGACCGGACCGGTGTTGTGACATCGCAGGTGGAGCCGGCACCTGCAGCACAGGCATCTCATAAGGTGGCTCCACTTCCCACCCAGCTCCCTGCTGTGGCCTGGGAAAGCAGCGGAAGAGGGCCCAGGTGCTTGGATCCCTGCACCCACGCGGGAGACCTGGAGGAAGCTCCTGGCTCCCTTTGGTCCAACCCAGCCCTGGCCGCTGCGGCCATCTGGGGAGTGAGCCAGCACCTGGAAGACCTCTCTCTCCCTGTAGCTCTGCCTTTCAAGTAAATCATTCTTTTTTTTTTTTCATTTGATATTGCAGTTGATTTCTCATTCCACCACAATTTGACAGAAAGAGACAGTGAGAGAGAGAAACAGAGAGAAAGGTCTTCCTTCCATTGGTTCACCCTCCAAATGGCCACTATGGCCAGTGCTGCGCCGATCTGAAGCCAGGATCCAGGAGCTTCTTCCTGGTCTCCCATGGGGTGCAGGGCCCAAGCACTTGGGCCATCCTCCACTGCCCTCCCGGGCCACAGCGGAGAGCTGGACTGGAAGAGGAGCAACCGGGACAAGAACCTGGCGCCCATATGGGATGCCGGTGCTGCAGGTGGAGGATTAACCAAGTGAGCCATGGTGCCCACTCCAAATAAATCATTCTTAAAAAAAAAAAAAAAAAAAAAAAAAAAAAAAAAAGAAAGCTGGATGACCAGGACCAGGGACAAGAGGCAGGAGTCTGCCCCTGCACCACTGGGAGGGGCCCAGGAGTCCTTCAGGGTCTGGGGGTGGCAGCTGCCAGCTTCCTTCCCAAGGCCCAGGAGCTCAGTGGGGCTTGCACGCCCCACATGGAGGCCTGGGCGGGAGACCGGTGACCCGGCCAGCCCTGGACCAGGTGCCCTCAGGGCTCCCCGGCCTTCCTCAGCCCCTCTGCACAGGCACGCGGAAGCAGGGGCGGGGGTCTCCCCTGCAGCCCTGACCCCGTTCCTCCGACCAGCCCTGCCTGGGGAAGCCGAGGAGCTAATTAGCGCTGATCACCTACATTCTGCTCCCCAGACGCCTCACGCGCCGCTCCTGTCCCCTCCCCCCCACCCTCTGTCCTCTGGGGCTTGGGGGCAGGGGACTGGGCGGGAGAAGGCGCCCAGCGTGAGACAAAAGAGCCTAGCCTGCCAGCGATGACCACCGGCCTGCCCTGCCCCTCCTGCCCTCCCAGGGCCCAGACGTCGGGAACCGCCCCCGAGGCTCTGACACCCTCCAGGGCCCGGTGGGGGCCTGGCTCCCGGGGCACCGGCGGGCACTCTGGGTCCCGGTCACGTGCACGGATTGTTTGAATAATTCAGATTTAAAAAGACCTACTTTCCTGTTAGACCATTTCCTGCTCCAGCGCAGAGGGGGCGGGGCACCTGGAGATTCATCCCGGCTCCCTGGGTTTCTCCAGGCAGTGCCGGGCGCGCAGCCAGAGCCTCCTCCCCGGGGCTCTGCCGGGCTCTGCAGCCTCCCGCTGGCCGGCCCTGGGCTGGCTGCGGTGCCTGGGTGTGGCTCTGACCTCTGAGACACTTCCAGGGAAGGGAGTGCCGCGGAGAAGCCTGGGCCCCAGGGGAGGGTCTGAGCAGCAGGTGGTGGCCTTGGCCACAGGGTGGAGGGTGGGGCAGGGAGGGCAGAGTCCTTGGTGTCCTCAGACCCTTGGTGGGGGGGTGGAGGAGAAGGCTGGCTGCTTATCACCCTGGGGGAGGCCCAGGTGGGCGGGAGGCCCCTGCAGTTTGCCCAGAGTCCAGGGTCCACGTCCCCAGGTTGCAGGCCCCTGTCTTCCTGGGCTGATGCAGGCCAGCGGCTGAGGCCCGGGTGTGGGAGCGAGAACCCAGGGCCACTGCTCCTTCTTCCTCTCGGCTTTGCCCTGGCACCGCTACAGACGCACACGCACTGTACACACACACACTACACGGATGCACACGCATTATACACACAGAGACTGCACGGATGCACACACGTTACACACACACACACACACACACACACACCCCAGGGTGTCTGCAGGGGCCCTGGAGCCACTTCCAGGGAAGACCCTGCCCCACATGGAGCCCTGCCGGTAGCCGGAGGTGCCAGGGCTGCACCCCTCGCGGCTGGTCCAGCCTCGTGGCCCTGGCTGTAATGGGATGGCCCAGCCATGGGCCAGAGGAGCCCTGGCACCAGGCTGGCCCACGGTGTGGAGTGCCCAGTGCCCTGGATGGCCGGGCTGGAGGTCCCGGGTTCCCTCAGCCTCCCGGCGTCCACGTACACAGCCCCTGCCCGCTCTGGCCTGCGCGCTGCACCCTCCGCCTCCCTGCCGACGTTCCTGTGTCCTGGACCTTGGGTGGGCACTGAGGCCGGGACCCACCTCCAATGCCCAGATCCACCCCTCTGCGGCTCCACTGCCCCGTGGCCCTGGGGCTGCCCAGCACGCCAGCCCTTCCCTGAGGCCCATATCTGTGCCCACCACTCACACTCCACTGGCCAGTGAAGCTGCCCCACCAAGGGCCCACTGTATGGTGTCCCTGTGCTGGGCACAGCCGAGCATCACCCCACATCTTCCACACCTGCTGTGGCTTTCCCGGGGATGCCTGGTGGGGCCGGGGAGCGGTGGGCGAGGCCGGCCTCGCACTGTGGCAGGGGCAAGGGTCGGTCAGGGTCTCAGGCGGCCAGGGCCAGAGGACAACATGTCTGGGGCGGTGACCCCAGCGGAGCCAGCAGCTGGAGTCACAGGGCGGGGGGGGGGGGGGCAGGAGAACACGCCCACACTGGTGCACACAGTCAGGAGCCTTCCTGTGGGGGTCAGCAGGGCGGGGGGAGGGTCCTCCGCACATGGGCCCCGCGGCGTGGGGTGGGCCTTGGCGAGATCCTGCAGGTTCCCCGTGCTCCGTGGCACACCCAGGTCCGCGCACCCCCCCTCTGCCTGGCAGCCGCCTCACGCGGGGCCCACGCGGTGTGGAGGGTCCAGGCCGCGGCTCCAGCGAGCCCAGCTGCACGGGCGCACGCCCGGGGAAAGGGGCTTCGGGTTGGACTTGGGACCGCGGCCAGACCAGCTGGACGGCGGGGGGAGCGAGTCCACGGCCCCCGAGGCTCCAGCGGACGCATCGCGACCCCCGCCCTCCCCAGCCGGCGCCCGCGCCTCGGCTGTCGGGCCTCGGCACGCACGTGGTCGCTCCTCGCGGGAGGCCACTCGGGGGCACCGGGCTCCAGAGCCCTCCGGCGCCGTCTCCCGCAATGCGCCGGCCCTCGGCCCGTGCGCGGCGCAGAACCGGCTCTCCGGGCGCCGGCCGGCGCGAGCAGGGGAGCCAGGGCCTAGGTCCGGCCGCAGCCGGGGCCGCGGGGCTCCTTTAAGAGCCCCGCGCACGCGCGCGTCGGCTCGGGGAGCGCGCGTGCGTGCGCGCGCCCGGCGGCCGTGCGCGGTGACGCGGCGCGTGGGGTTTCCCGAGCTGCGGGCAGGGGCGCCGCGCCCATCCCGATGGCTGGAGGCGTCTGAGGGGCGGACGGCGGCGGGCGCGGGCGGGAGCGGAGCGGGAGCGGCCGGAGCGAGCAGCCGCCGCGGACCCACAGCCTCGCCGCGCACCTGCCCAGCGCCCGCAGCGCGGCCCGAGCGCCAGCCTCGAGCGGCCCCGGCGGCGGCGTGGGCGTCAGGCCGGGCGAGGGCGCCGAGGTGAGCGCGGCCGCCGCGGCCCAGCCCCGAGCCCCCCGGCCCGGTCCCCGGTGCCCCGGCGTCCCCGCGGGCCCCTTCCCCTGCCCGCCGGCGCCCGCCCCGGGGGTCGCCCGCCCGCCCGCCCCGCCCCCACCGCCGGCCGGGCCGCGTCTTCCTGCCCCGCCCGGGTGGGGCTGCGGGGCCCCGGGAGGCGGCGGGGGTGCGGGCGGGGGTCCGAGCCCGCCCCGAGGCCAGGGCGCGCCCGGGCCAGCGCGGGTCGGGGGGCGGCCCCCGCCCGGCGGCTCGGACCGCGGCCGCGAGAACAAAGGCTGGCGCGCCCCGGGCCGCGGGAGCCCCGCCGCGCGGAGGGGCGGCCGCGGCGGGCGGCCCCGGGCTCGGCGGTCGCGCCGCCCCGGCCCGGAGCTCGGGGGCCAGCGCCGCGCGGGCGGGCGAGACCCCGCGGCGACCCCGGCCCTCGCGCGGCGTGGGCGCCGCGTCCGGGCCCCACGGCCAAGATGGCGACCCCGCGGCGCGGCCATTGTCGCCGGCCCCGCGGGCTGCGGGCCCCCCGCGGCCCTGGGCGTCCCGCGTGGGGGCGCGTGCTCCGGGGGCCGCGCTCGTCCTGGGGGCCGCGCTCGTCCTGGGGGCGCCGTGGGGCGCTGCGGCGCGGGGCGCCGGCCGCGGGAGGAGCCCTCCGGGGCGCGCCGGGTGGGCGCGGGGTGGGCTGCTGCGTGTGTCCGTCGGTGCGACCGTGCTGTCACCGTCGCTGCCCGGGGGAGACAGCTGGGCTTTTGTCACGGCCAGCTCGCCGGTGCGGGGATGGCAGGCGGCTGCGGGCAGCGCGTTGGGTCTCCGGGGCACGCGTGGCGTGTGCGTGGCGTGCCGCTCCGGTGGAGCTGCAGGCTTTTTGGAGGGAAGGAGCGCCGTCTGGACGTGAGGATGCGGGCGCTTCCGGGGGTGCGCGGCAGCCAGACGGCGAGGGAGCAGTTCCCTTTCCGCCGGCCGGCGACACGCGGTGCGCGGCGGGGCTGGGCGGGAGCCCGAGGGCCGCAGCTGCAGTGCAGGTGCCCGGCCGGGGCCGGCGAGGGCCCCGAGGATGCTGCGGGGTTTTCTTGCGTGGAAATCCGCGCCGGGGGCGCCTGAGGAGGTGGCCCCGCGCCCACCCTGCCGCCTGGCACGCGAGGGGTCGGTTTCGTGTTCACTCCGGAGCAGCGAGCGGAGAGCGCTCCGCCTGCCCGGTGCCGGAGGCGGGTTTGCGGGCAGGGGCCGCGCCCTGAACTTTTCTCTTGGCTGCGCCGGGAAAGTGTGGCCCCCAGACGGCCGGCGGGGAGGGTGGGGGTCTCGGCCCCGCGGGCAGCGGTGGGCTCTGGCTCATCCTGCTCTGAGGAGGAACACTGGTCTCATTTCGGAAGTGCAGTGTTGGCATCTGCTGTAGCTTCTTCATTGGATTGTTTTTCTCCGCCCGAGAGATTTGGCTCATGTCAGTCTCCAAATTGGATTAAATTCTTGCTGCCTGCGGCTTTGGCTTCAGCGTTAGTGGATTGGTAATAGATAGGCTCAATTTTATTATCTGGGCTTGACCATATGGCAAGCAATATGATTTTGAAACCCCTGTTTAGTGCAAGTCTCGTAAGACGTGGACAGGGTTCTTTAGATTATTTTTAAACACTGTTTTGAATTCTGGTTTCAGGTTTGTGTTTGCTGATGGAAATGAGTGGTGGGATTACGAAGCGGTTTCACATGAAATGGGGGGATGAGAACAGATCCAGGGGCTTGAGCCCCAGCGGCTGTTCCACTTCTGAGCCAGTTCCCCGCAGGTGCGCCTGGGAGGGCAGCTGAGGGAGGCCCGGGTGCCTGGGCCCCGGCACCCACGGGAGAGGCCCTGACCGAGCTCCAGGCTCTGGCTTCAGCCTGGCCCAGCCCTGGCCGGTTCGGCCATCTGGGGAGTGAACCGGCGGGTGAGTGGGTGGGAGATCTTTCTGTATCTGCCTCTCTTTGTGTAACTCTGCCTTTCAGGTAAATAAATAAATCTGTAATAAAAGCGAATGTGTGTTGAGACAGGGAAATGATTTACATGGCTGAGAGACTTCACACTGAAGGAGTGTGTATACGTACGGGAGCGCAGGGCCCTGTGGCTGGGCTGCGGGGGACGGGGCGCCTGTGCCCCACAGCTGTGAGCTCTGTTTCAGACCCCGCACCTGGGAAGTGCGGCGGCTCCGGGCCGCGAGCCGTGCGCGGCCAGGGGAGGCGAGGAGCCGCCTCAGCTCCGTCCTGTGTCCTTGTGCAGGCGCTGCCTTCCGTGGACCCGGGCTGCTTGCTCGCTGCTAGTGAGACTGAGTGAACGTATTCCCTTATTAGCTTAAATCGGAATTGTGAGAAGGAGCCTTTCCGAAGAGCTTAATTTAAAAGACGAGACTTAACTAAAATGATTCTTAGAATTACCCGAGAATTCAGCCTGTTGTGCCACTGATGAGAGATGATTATGATTTAATAATCACTGCGAACGTAATGCGTTTTATCAAGGGGCAGGTTAATTCTGTATCCTGTAACCTACTAGAATTGGAATGCTGAAGGCATTGTTAATTTTTTTTGAAGCTCTATTTGAAAGGCAGAGTGACAGAGGGGGAGAGAGGGATCTTCCATCTGCTGATTCACTCCCCAAATGACCACAATGGCCAGGGCTGGGCCAGGCTGGAGCCAGGAGTCCATCTCGCTCTCCTGCACAAGCGGCGGGGGCCCGAACACTCGGGCCACCCTCCGGTGCCTTCCTCAGTGCACCAGCAGGGAGCTGGGTTGGAAGCGGAGTGGCGGGGGCTGACGGGATGCCAGCAGCAGCACTGACCCGAGTCCCGTGGCGATGAGAAAATGCATTTCCCATGAAGGTTACAGACTCCTGACTGCCTGGCCACGGGTAGTTAATAAAGCTAAAAACAACTAATCCTGGATATTTTTTAAAAAGTATTTATTATTTATTTTGAGAGGTAGAGTTACAGAGGCAGAGACAGAGAGAGAGGCCTTCCATCCGCTGGTTCACTCCCCAAATGGCTGCAACGGCCATACCCGCGCCAATCTGAAGCCAGGAGCTTCCTCAGGGTCTCCCGCACAGGTGCAGGGCCCAAGCACTTGGGCCATCTTCCGCTGCTTTCCCAGGCCACGGCAGAGAACTGGATCAGAAGTAGAGCAGCCGGGAGTAGAACCGCACCCGTATGGGATGCCGGTGCCGCAGGCGGAGGATCAGTCTGCTGTGTCACAGCGCCGGCCCCAATTCTGAATACTTTTAATAAGAAGTTATTTATTGCCGGCGCCGTGGCTCAGTAGGCTAATCCTCCGCCTTGCGGCGCTGGCACACCGGGTTCTAGTCCCAGTCGGGGCACTGGATTCTGTCCCAGTTGCCCCTCTTCCAGGCCAGCTCTCTGCTGTGGCCCGGGAGTGCAGTGGAGGATGGCCCAAGTGCTTGGGCCCTGCACCCCATGGGAGACCAGGAGAAGCACCTGGCTCCTGCCATTGGATAGGTGTGGTGCACCGGCCGCAGTGTGGCGGCCATTGGAGGGTGAACCAACGGCAAAAGGAAAACCTTTCTCTCTCTCTCTCTCACTGTCCACTCTGTCAAAAAAAAAAAAAAAAAAAAAAAAAAGGTTATTTATTTGAGAGGCAGAGAGACATAGGAAGAGCAGAGAAAGCTCTTGTTCTCTGGTTCTTTCCCCAAAAGCATCTGCGTCCTCCCAGGGTGCGTTAGCAGGGAGCTGGAGCAGAAGCGGAGTACCGACTCCCAATTGGCAGCTTAGCCCACCGTGCCACAGGGCCTGCCCCATCCTAGAAATTTCAAAGAGTTCCTAAATGAGAGACTGTTTCCAGAAGGATTGGCACCGAGTTAGAGGCCAGCTCTGTCGCCTCACAGGCTGGGGTGGTGGCATCGGCATTTCTGGGTCGGGTTCCTTAGCGTAAGATGGGCACACAGGAGCTTCCTCCGTGGGTTGTGAGGGTCAGTGGGTCACGTGTGAGGAACCCTTAGGTAACAGGGCACTGGGAGGTTGGCCATTCTTGCTCAGGCTGTGCTTTGTAGAGAATGTCACTGTGATAGTGTGGGTGGTCCTAGAAGACGACAGCTGTTGGAGCTTGGTTCTCCTGTCTTCCTCGTGGTTCCAGGGGGACTTGAGGCCAGCTCTCCGTGTGCCTGTGCTGTGTACCTCTGCTCGCCACTGCCTTTCTGTGCCTCTCGGATCGTTTTGAGCCTGGTGAAGGTTTTTATTTTTTGGAGAAATCCCTTTCTTATGACACTGGAAATTTTTGGATTTCAGCAGATTTGTTTCTGTCCTTTGATTTGCTAACTAGTGACAATACTAACGAAAAAAATTTAAAGATTTATTTATTTGAAAGAAAGAGTTGCACAGAGAGAGGAAGAGAGAGAGAGAGTGAGCTCCTCCATCCGCTGGTTCTCTCTCCAGATGGCCTCAACAGCAGGGGCTGGTCCAGGCCGAAGCCAGGAGTCAGGAGCTTCTTCTGGGTCTCCCACATGGGTGCAGGGGCCTAAGCACTTGGTCCATCCTCTGCTGCTTCCCCAGGTGCGTCAGCAGGGAGCTTCATTGGAAGTGGAGCAGCTGAGACCATGGCGCTGGCCCCTGGATATTTGTTTTAACAAATGTTTACTGTGGGGGCCAGTGCTGTTGCCTCATGGGTTAAGCCATCACCCGCATTGCCCGAGTTCCATCTGCTAATGAGCTTGGGAAAGCAGTGGAGGCTGGCCTGAGTGCCTGGGCCCCTGCGCCCTGTGGGGGATGCCGATGAGGCTCCTGGCTCCTGGGGAGTGAGCCAGAGGATGGGGATACCTGTCTCTCTCTGTGGCTCCCTGCCGCCGATTCTGCCTTTCAAATAAATGAATCTTAAAAAAAAGTTTACTTAGCTGTAAATTGTTGGAACTTACCTGGTCCGGCTGTGGAGGAGAGGTGTGGATGGAGGTGGACCTTCAGGAGTTGGATCTAGAGGGTGGTGGAAAGCAGAGGTGCTTAGAGCAGTGGCTCTCT